GGAAAAGACAAAACAGGTTCTGTTTTTAGAACCTGAACCTGGTTGTTGTTTTCCCAGGTTGGAAAAACAGAACCAGAGGTTGTTTACCAACCTACCACCAGCTATTTTGTCCAGCCAGGTTGGTTCTGTTGCTTGGAATTATTTGGGATCATCCCTGGTTGTTCCCAGGTTGATTCCCAAGGTCCTTGCTAGCTAGAACTATTTAATCCTTCTCTGTTTGTACCTGAATATAGTCAAATTGATTCAAGCGAATTCCTTCCTCGCTGGAATTTCGTTTCTGCGCTATTCGACGGCGGAATGCTACCCGAGTCAACGCTAGTATGCTAGCACTCCAACGCTAGGCAAACGCTGTCCGAGCCAAAACTTAGTAATGGCAGAACTTTTCGCGAGGCAACTTGGCTCATTTTAAAGCTCTTGGAGCGAGCTTCGATATAGCGAATTCTCAGCTTAATCCGACCGACGGTCTGCACGGCACGCTGCGCGACGTTCAAGGTGCTCTTGCTGTTTTGACTAAGTCCTTCTTGATCCCTCTCTCTACAAACTCGGACCCGAGGATAGGGGCTGGTCTTGTACCAGGCACCCAGGGACCCTTGGAGGTGACCCCGAGGAGAGGTTTTAAGTTTGATTAAGTCCTAATAGCTTGAGTTTATTAGGCCCTTACACCAACAAAAACTTCAAGTGCAAGAACCTTGGGGAGGTAAAGTACTACCTCGGGATGCACGTGGAGAGGGATCCTGATCACAGGTGGTTGAAGCTGCACCAGGAGAAGTTCATCAAGGAGCTGGGGGAGAAGTATGGGATTGAGAATGAGCGCAAGGTTGCAACTCCCCTGCCAGCAGAATTCAAGCTTGTGAAGGCTGCAGAGGATGAAGGGGTTGAAGCTGAAGAGCAGCAGCAATTTCAGTCCTTGGTGGGCAGCCTCTTGTACGCAGCAGTTCACACGAGGCCCGACATCTCTTTCTCGGTTGGGCAGCTGGCTAGGGTGGTGCAGAATCCATCAGAGGAGCAGGTGGATGCAGCTGAGCGTGTGGTGAAGTACCTGAACTCTCACCCAAGCATTGGAGTTCAATACTCCGCATCTGCACAGGTGAAGCAGAAAGGGGTGGAGGTGCTGAAAGAGAAGGGGGAGAGGCTTGGAGAAGGCAAGCTATTTCTCACTTGCTTTACCGATGCTACGTGGGCTTCTGAGAAGGAGGATTCCTCATCTATGGGAGGATACATATGCGTAGTTGGGGGAGGACCTGTTAGTTGGAGGTCCAAGAAGCAGACGGAGACGGCACTCTCTTCCGTAGAATCAGAGTACATGGCGATGTTCCATGGGGTGAAGGAGGTGATTTGGCTGAGGAGGCTGTTAGAGGAGATTGGCCAGGAGCAGAAAGTTGCTACGCCGCTGTTTTGTGATAGCAAGGGGGCTCTTGGGATGGCCAGAAACGCTGTGCTTCATGGGCTGAACAAGCACATGCGTATCAAGTGGCACTGGCTGCGTAAGGAGGTGAAGAGGGGGACGGTGCATCCGATCTACATCAAGACTCACCAGCAGCCAGCAGACTTTCTCACCAAGAGGCTTGCGGATGAGCCTCATTGGCGTTGTGTGCGCATGAGTGGAATGAGCATGAACTAGCATGGAATGACGGGGATGCAGCCGGCAGGCTGAGGGGGAGTGTGTTGGGTGCAAATGCACATTGCACGACATCCTGCCGTCTGTTTGTACGAGTATGCGTGTGCGAATGCATTTGCGTGTGAATGGTGTGTTCGTGTGTTTGTTTGCTTTCGCATTTTTCGCTTGATGCATTTGCAGGTACTCGCGCAATGTGCGCTTCGGCACAACATTGTACGCGCTATGAACAGTGCAAGCAGAAAGGACGAGCTCGCAAAGGAACCCAAGATGGAAGCTTTGCAGTTCGGTTGAGTTGATTGCGCAGATTCAGTTCTATCCAACTCGAAATTGTACTGTTTTGTTTGGTTAACTATAGTGTAGCAGGGAAGGCACTATAGGGGTACAATTTAGGTGAAGGTTGGATGTTGTTTGTCTGTATCTGCATGCTACAAGGCCAGGGGAAACCAGCGGAACCAGCATTTGGCTGGTTGGGAAAAGACAAAACAGGTTCTGTTTTTAGAACCTGAACCTGGTTGTTGTTTTCCCAGGTTGGAAAAACAGAACCAGAGGTTGTTTACCAACCTACCACCTGCTATTTTGTCCAGCCAGGTTGGTTCTGTTGCTTGGAATTATTTGGGATCATCCCTGGTTGTTCCCAGGTTGATTCCCAAGGTCCTTGCTAGCTAGAACTATTTAATCCTTCTCTGTTTGTACCTGAATATAGTCAAATTGATTCAAGCGAATTCCTTCCTCGCTGGAATTTCGTTTCTGCGCTATTCGACGGCGGAATGCTACCCGAGTCAACGCTAGTATGCTAGCACTCCAACGCTAGGCAAACGCTGTCCGAGCCATAACTTAGTAATGGCAGAACTTTTCGCGAGGCAACTTGGCTCATTTTAAAGCTCTTGGAGCGAGCTTCGATATAGCGAATTCTCAGCTTAATCCGACTGACGGTCTGCACGGCACGCTGCGCGACGTTCAAGGTGCTCTTGCTGTTTTGACTAAGTCCTTCTTGATCCCTCTCTCTACAAACTCGGACCCGAGGATAGGGGCTGGTCTTGTACCAGGCACCCAGGGACCCTTGGAGGTGACCCCGAGGAGAGGTTTTAAGTTTGATTAAGTCCTAATAGCTTGAGTTTATTAGGCCCTTACACCAACACACTCCAACCCTAAAATTGCCCTCAACACCCCCCCCCCCCCCCATACTCCTCGGTTTTACATTTTTCTGATGTCCGTGCGAGGGAGGGGAATGGGCATGGACGACGGGGGAAAGGAAGCGAGGGCGAAGGAGAGGGGACGCTCGACGAAGACGTCAGCGGCGGGAATGAGAATGATGTTGACGCAGCGACAGGTGGGAGAGGAGAGGTCGACGCGGCGAGCGATGGGGAGGGGAAACGAGGGCGATGGGAGGGGAAAGACAGGGCGACCGGGGGGGGGAGGGGGGGGGAAGCGAGGTCGATGGGAGGGGGAAAGCGAGGTCGACGGGAGGGGGAAAGCGAGGCCGACGGGTGGGGGAAAGCAAGGTCGACTGGAGGGGGAAAGCGCGGCTGACGGGAAATGGAAAGCGAGGCCGACGGGAAGGGGGAAGCGAGGCCGGCAGAGAGAGAGAGAAGCGACGGACGGGGGAAGCGAGGACGACAAGCGGGGAAAGCAAGGTGGGCAAAGCGCTAAGATCTCCCGCTCTGTCCATTTTCTCCGTGCTTCACACTCGCATTTAGCGTCTGCATTTCCCTTCGATTGCGTATACGTGTTGCACCTACTATACGATCGGCTCTAAATCGTTTCACTTGATATGCCTGGCTGGTATGCGCGATGCTTGGATTCTAAAAACGAGTGTCTTAGTTGTTAGCTTGTTCTATCGCATTGGCTTTCAACTCTGCTCGACCTCCCTGAGGTTGTAAGTAGGCCTGTCGAAGTTCCTGGCACCAACATTTGGATTCCTGAGCTGCTCGAAGTTTGGACCTGATTTTCGAAAAGGTGGCCGTTTTTTTGCCCTTAACGATCACGGGTACTTGTCAAATTCAAAACTTAAAATCAGGGCTTCCTAGAAAAATGCACTTGAGCCCTAATGTCCGAAAGGTGGGTATCGGCCTTGTCAAACTGTTATGATGTTTATATTCTGTAGGCTGTAGTAGGGTAGCCCATAAGGGGTACAACCCAATTAGGGTTAGTACTTGTACCAACTTTCTGTTCAATGCATTCATTCTCGTTCTCTATTCTGACATGGTTTCAGGGCAGGTCCTGTTCCAGGACCCTTTTTTTTAGGGCCCTGCGAATAGTTCCTGCCCGTAGCGCGTTACCCTGCCCGTAGCGCCCTACCCTGCTCATCGCGCTGTCCTGCCTTGCCCTGCGTAGTGCCGCCCGCGCACGCCCTGCCTTACCCTGTGTTGCGCTGTCCCGCGCACGCCCTGCCCTGCGTCGCGCCGCCCGCGCACGCCCTGCCCTGCCCTGCGTCGCGCTGCCCGCGCACGCCCTGCCCTGCCCTGCGTTGCGCCGCCCCGCGCACGCCCTGCCCTGCGTCGCGCCGCCCGCGCACGCCCTGCCCTGCGTCGCGCCGCCCCGCGCACGCCCTGCCCTGCGTCGCGCCATCCCCAGGAACGCCCTGCACTGCGTCGCGTTGCCCGCGCACGCCCTGCCTTGCGTTGTGCCGCCCCGCGCACGCCCTACCATGCATCGCGTCGCCCCGCGCACGCCTGCTCTGCGTCGCGCGGCCCGCGCACCCTGCCTGCCCTGCCCGCGCGCCGCCCTGCTGGTTGCGCGCCACCCTGCCCTGCCCGCGCGTAGCCCTGCAGCCTGCTGCGCCGCCCTTTTCCTGCCCGCGCGCCGCCCTGCAGGCTGCCGCGCTGCCCTGCCCTGCCCTACGCGCCGCGCTTCCCTGACCGTGCGCCGCCCTGCCCTGCCCTGCGCACCTCCCTAGTGCACGCGCGCCGCACTGGCCGTCGCGCCGTCCTGTTGCTAGCTATGGCTACCCTCAGAGTTCTCACCTTCGATCCTGAGGGCCGTCCGATCCAGTTTGATACATGGCTCGACGACTTACAGCTGTACCTACTGAGCGATTCTAAAGACGGCGTCTCGTTGTTTCACCACACGTCTGGAGCCTCTCTTGCTCCTCCCGACACAGCTGACAGTGCGACTCGCTCACAGTGGCTTACCCATGATGCTTCTGCTCACCTAGCTGTTCGCAACCACTTGCCATTAGCCGAACGAGCTCACTTTGGCCAGCACAAGACTGCTAAAGCCCTGTTTAACGCAGTAGTCGCTCGTTACTCCTCCCCTGCCACTGCTGCTCTCGGGTGCCTTATACTGCCTTTTTTTTTTCCCGAGCTGTCAGCCTTTGCTATAGTCGATGACCTCATCACCCACCTTCGCACTAGCGACCCGCGCCGCACTTAAAGATGAGTTGCTACACAAGAACCTGCCCTCGATGTACATCACTCTCTACTTCATCGTCACCCGCCTCCCTGACTCTCTTCGCGCAGTCAGGGACCACTTTCTCGCCCTTGACCCCACAGACCTCACTGTCGACCTGCTCGAGAAGCACCTCCTTGCAGCTGAGACCAGCATAGTTGCTGTAGGTGCTTCTCGTGGCACTCCTCGCACTCCCCTCTTTGAGGGGTGTTCCCCCTCCCCCCTTGCCCCCTCTGTCGCTTCTGCTGCTGCTGTTGACTTCCTTGGTGCTGAAGACGTCGGGGCTGCCCCTAGTGGGAAGTGCTGCAGCGGCAAGGGCAAGGGAGGCAAGGGTGGTGGGGGTGGCGACAGTGGCGGCGGTGGTGGAGGTAGTGGAGATGGTGGTGGTGGTGGCGGTAGTGGTGGTGGGAGTGGTGGTGGGGGTGGAGGCGTTGGTGGCGGCGGTGGTGGTAGCAGTGGGAGTGATGGCTGGTGGTGGTGGTGGCAGCAGTGGAAGTGGTGGCGGCGGAAGTGGTGGCGGTCGGGGTGGAGCGGTCCAGAGGGGAGGTTCTGGCGGTGGCCAGAGGCAGCAGCAGCAGCGTTCCCGCGAGACCCTAACGCGCCAGCAGCTTCGTGAGTGGTTTGCTCAGCGTGGGGCGTCTGAAGGTAGTGTTCGCTGCCCGTACGTCATTCGCACAGGTAACCACGCTGGTCAGACATGCGGGAAGTATCACACACAGCAACGCTGCTTCTTCCGCCTTGACGACGCTTGGCGCACAAAGTTTGGCGACGAGGCAGAGCTTCCCAGCTGGCTAGAGCTGCTTAGGTCTGGTGTTGATATATTTGCTCTTGACTATGACGCTATCCTTGCTGCCATGTATGCTTTGACTGTTAGTGCTGAGGGTGACTGTTACCTGTGTGTGCCGCCCGACCCAGGTATAGAGGCTGCTGCTCTAGGTGCTAGTGAGTCTGCTCTCTCTGGTACTGCGCCTGCTGAGGCCTTGCACACCTTCACGCTTGACTCAGGTGCTTCCCGCTGTTTCTTTCGCGACAGTACCACAGTCACACCACTCCACGCATCTGTTGCAGTCTCACTGGTTGACCCCTCTGGGGTTGCACGTTCCTCCACTGTTCTCCCGTGTCCGGCGGTTCCGTCTGGCTCACTGTCAGATCACCACCTCCCCTCGTTCTCGATAAACTTGGTGAGCAACGCAGTCCTTCAGGATGCATGGGTTGATACCTTTACCCCTGGAGGGCAGCGTGTGGCGATCTGCACGTGTGTTCCCGGACTGGCCGTCACCTGGCAACGTTCACCCGTCGGCCTGGGTCGAGTCTGTACACATGGATGTGTGGGGCCAGCCCGCGTCAGTGGACAGGGCCGCGAGCGATACTTTCTGCTGGTTGTTGACGACTACTCGTGTTACACCACGGTCTTCCCCAGCCCCTCGAGTGGTTCCGCACGGACCTTCCTGTCCTGCGTCTGCACTTTGACAGAGGTGGTGAGTTCTCCTCCGACCTCTTGCGGGACTTTTGTCGTGAATGGCCAGTCATTCACGCTTCTGGCCTCCGCGCAGCATAATGGGATTGCTGAGCGCCGCATTGGCTTAGTCATGGAGGTGGCTCGTACCTCCATGATCCATGCGGCTGCTCCCCATTTTTTGTGGCCGTTTGCGGTCCGGTACGCTGCGCATCAGCACAACCCCTGGCCCCGTGTCTCCTTGCCGGAGACCTCGCTTACACTGCGTTGGACGGGAGAGGTTGGCGATGCGTCGGTGTTCCGGGTCTGGGGCGCTCGTGCCTTTGTCCGCGATACCTCCGCGGACAAGCTCTCCTCCCGCGCCATTCCCTGTGTCTTCCTTGGCTTTCCCCCCCACGCGCCTGGCTGGCAGTTTTACCACCCCACCACGCGCCGTGTTCTGTCCTCTCAGGACGTCACGTTTGACGAGTCGGTTCCCTTCTACAAGTCGATTGTTCCCCCTACCGCACTGCCCCTCTCCCCCCCCCCCCGCCGCTCTTCCTCGCTCCAGGTCCCCCTCCAATAGACCCCCTCCCCCCTCAGGGTCCTGCTCCTTCAGGTCCGCACTTCCCTTGGCTGAGCCTGTCAAGGTCACTGGCGACTTTGGTGCTGCTGGGGGTGGTGCTGCTCGGGGTGCTGCGTCTGGGGGTGCTGAGCCTGCGGGTGCGGAGCCTGGGGGTGCTGAGCCTGAGGGTGCTGAGCCTACGGGTGTGGAGCTTGGGGGTGCTGGGCCTGAGGGTGCTGAGCCTGGGGGTGCTGAGCCTGAGGGTGCGGAGCCTGGGGGTATTGAGCCTACGGGTGTGGAGCCTTGGGGTGCTGAGTCTGGGGGTGCTGAGCCTAGGGGTGCTGCGTCTGCTGGAGGTCCTACGGGTGCCTCGCCGCAGCGGTCTAGCCGGCGGGAGCCTCTCTCACCACAGCAGCTGCGCGAGTGGTTTGCTCGGCGCACCCGCCTTCAGAGTGGCGTTGCTGGAGCTGGAGGCACTGCCGATGGAGGCGCTGGAGCTGGAGGTGTTGGAGCTGGAGGCACTGACGCTGTGGACCACTAGAGCTGGAGGCGCTGGAGCTGGAGGCGCTGGAGCTGGGCTGGCGGCGCTGGTCCTAGCGACCCTGGAGCTGGAGGTGCTGACACTGGAGGCACTGGAGCTGGCGGTACTGGTGCTGGAGGCACTGTGCAGCGCGGCGGCCGTTTTTTCTTGCCACCGCCATATCTGTCACTGCTACCACCTGCCTCGGTGCTCCGCCAGGTTCTTAGTCTTCCTTCGTCCACTGCCATCCCTCCAAACCTACCTCTGCCTGCCCCCCTTCGTTACACTAAGCAGCCAGTCTCCCTTACAGAGCGTCGTGAGCCTGTGTCTCGTCCGGCCTCACCAGTTCGCACTGCTCGCCGTGCTCGTCGTGTTCCCCGTCCTCGTCCTCCACCTATCTCTGGCACGCACACTATGGCACTACGTCCTTCCTCTGTTCCACAGCGAGTTTCCCTGCCGTATCCTCCGGCGTCCTCTCTTCATGACGTTCCGGACCCTAAGCCTGAGTTGGTTCGTGCTGCCAGCCCTACTGTTACAGTCTCCTCGCCACTGTTGTACTGTGTCTGCCTTAGTTGCTGAGCTTGTTGACTTTGCTGGTGCCTGTCGTCTAGACTACGCCACTAGTCTTGTTGTTGAGTCTGAGTCTGTCTGTCCTCCGTCTGTCGGGGGTGAGTGTGCTCTTGGCACGGACGTCCTTGAGGACACGCAGGTGAACTTTGAGTGTCTTGCAGCTACTGTACCCCATCTCGTGACCATTCTGCTTGCCACCTTGTTGGGTGCAAATTCACATTGCACGACATCCTGCCGTCTGTTTGTACGGTATGCGTGTGCGAATGCATTTGGGTGTGAATGAAATGTTCGTGTGTTTGTTTGCTTTCGCAATTTTTGCTTGAAGCATTTGCAGGTACTCGCGCAATGTGCGCTTTGGCACAACATTGTACGCGCTATGAACAGTGCAAGCAGAAAGGACGAGTCTCAAATGAAACCCAAGATGGAAGCTTGCGGTTCGGTTGAATGGATTGCGCAGATTCAGTTCTATCCAACTTGAAATTGTACTGTTTTGTTTGGTTGACTATAGTGTAGCAGGGCAGGCACTATAGGGGTACAATTTAGGTGAAGGTTGGATGTTGTTTGTTTGTATCTGCATGCTACAAGGCCAGGGGAAACTAGCGGAACCAGCATTTGGCTGGTTGGGCAAAGACAAAAAAGGTTCTGTTTTTAGAACCTGAACCTGGTTGTTGTTTTCCCAGGTTGGAAAAACAGAACCAGAGGTTGTTTAATAACTACCACGTGCTATTTTGTCCAGCCAGGTTGGTTCTGTTGCTTGGAATTATTTGGGATGATCCCTGGTTGTTCCCAGGTTGATTCCCAAGGTCTTTGCTAGCTAGAACTATTTATTCCTTCTCTGTTTTTGTACCGTATATAGTCAATTGATTCAAGCGAATTCCTTCCTCGCTGGAGTTTCGTTTCTGCGCTATTCGACGGCGGAATGCTACCTGAGTCAACGCTAGTATGCTAGCACTCCAACGCTAGGCAAACGCTGTCCGAGCCATAATGTCGGCAATGGCATAACATTTCGCGAGGCAACTTGGCTTATTTTAAAGCTCTTGGAGCGAGCTTTGTTATAGCAATTATCAG